AACTAAATAAAAGAGAAACCAAAGGGAAATATGGAATTGAACAAATTCTTGAGGAAAATAGGAATCTTCTAAATGAAACTCTTTAAAGAACATTTGTATGTCTTAGTACCACATAGCACTTTTACAAAAACCAATAAGATATAGTGATATTGAAAATAAAAGTAAAAAGGTAAAAAGTTTTAAAAAAGACACTTTATATACACAATAAAAATAGGAATCAATTCAGAGAACACAAAAGACACAGATCCAAATGGAGAGTTAATAATGAAATATTAAATAATGAATGGTCAAAGAATAAATCATAGAAAAAATTAATAATTATGTGAAAGAAAATGATAATGACAAACTATAATATAGTAAGATTTCTGGGATGCACCTAAAGCAGTCCTCATGGGAAATACTATATTACCCAAAAAACATACATTAACAAACCAGGAAAAGAGAGGATTCATGTACTGAATATGTATTTTTAAACATCAGAAACACAATAAGTAAAACATAAGCTCAAGAGATCTTGAAAATTAAAGAAGAAATATATAAACTAGAACCCAGAAAGACAATAGGAATGATAAAACTGAAAGCCAGTCCTTCAAAAAGACTAGCAAAATTGATAAACCTTTAGCCAATTTGATTAAAAAGCAAAAAAATCAAAATAGGCAGTAAACAAGGTAAAATCTGAACAAACTCAAGAAAAAATAAAAGGAATTATCAGAACCTATTGCACAGTTTTTTGTTGTTGGTGTTCAATTGTTTTAGTTGTGTCTGACTCTCTGTGACCCATTTGGGGTTTTCTTGGCAAAGATACTGAAGTGATTTTTCATTTCCTTCTACAGTTCATTTAACAGATAAGGAAACTGAGGCAAATGGAATTAAGTGACTTGCCCAGGATCACACAACTAGGAAGTGTCTGAGGCCATATTTGAACTCAGGAAGATGAGTCTTCCTAACTCCAGGTGAGGCACTCTATCCACCATACCACCTAGCTGCCCCACTGCATAATTATATGCTAACAAAGTTGAGAACAAAAAGAAGTAGAGGAATACATGCAAAAAAATAAAATACCTAAACTAAAAGAAGATCAAAGAGAGATCTTAATTAACCTAATCTAGAACAAGGAAACAGAACTAGCTATAAAGAAATCACCAATGAGGGAAAAAAAACTAATGTTCCCAATGGATTTACAGGAGAACAGGATAAAGCTTTTAAAAGACAATTCGTGCTAACACTAAATAAATTATTCTCACAATTGAGCAATGAAAGCACTCTGCCAAACTCTTTTCCAAAAAAAACATACTCATTATCTAAATCAAAGAAGAATAAAGTAAAGAAGAACTAAAGACCGTTGTCATGAGTAACTTGATTCAAAAGTTTTAAATAAAATAACGCAAAACTATAGAAATTTGTCCAACAAGTCATTCATTATGACCAAGCTGGATTTATATCAGGGATGCCAGGATGGCTGGACATTAGGAAAACAATCAATACACTTAACCACAATAAAAAATAAAAATATACAAAATTGCATAATTAGCTGAACAGATGTAGAAAAAGCCTTTGACAAAGTACAATACTCATTTATTCTAAAAACACTACAAAGTATAAGCATAATGGGACCTTCTTTTAATATCATAAAAATTATCTAAAACCAAAAACAAGCATCATATAGGATAGGGATACACTAGAAGCTTTCCCAGTAAATATAGGAGTAAAGCAAGGATGCTTGTTTTCTCTGCTATTATTTGATATAGTTCTGGAAATGCTAGTAATAGCAATAAAGCAAAAGGAAAAAACTACAAGTGCAAAGACAGGAAAAAAAAAGAAATAAAACTATCCCTATCTGCTAGTGACATAAGTTTACTCTTAAAATTTTAAAAGATACTAATTGAGATAGTAGCTTCAGTAAAGTAGCAAGCTACAAAATAAGCCCACAAAAATCAATATCATTTATGTAGAAGAATAACACAATCTAAGAAGCAATAATAAAAAGGGAGATCTCATTCAAAACAACTACAAAATGCATAAATTATCTGGGGTGGGAAGGTGTCCATTTACCAAAGTGCTCCATAAAGAAATAAAGAACTTAAATATAAATAGAGAATAATCAGTGTTCATGGCTGAGCCACACCAACACAATAAAATGACAATACTACCAAAGTTAATTCATAAGCTATAAACATTCATCTGAAGGATCAAAAGCTCTAGAATATCAAGGGAAATAATGAAAAAAGTAGTAATGAAAGGAGAATAACACTTTCAGACCCTCATAACTATATTATAAAAGTTATCAAAACCATTTTGGACCGGCTAAAAAAAAAACAGAGAGCAGATCAATGAAATTGACTAGACAAGGGAGATTGAGAAATAACCTAGTATTCAATATAAGGGATAGCTCTCTGGGAGGGGAAAAAAGGACATAGGAGGAAATTTAAGAAATATAAAAATAAAATATCAATTACCTAGAAAAGAATTCTTTATTTAATAAGAACTGCTGAGACAACTGAAAAGTAGCCTGGTAGAAATTAGTCTTTGTTCAACATCTTACATCATATTCAGCAATAATTTACATGGATATGTGGCCTAAATATTAAAGATCACATGATTAAAAACAATAGAATTGAAGCAGATCACATACTTTTCACAGATATAGGAGATGTATTCCTAACCAAACAAGGAACAAAGGCAATTACAAAAGATAAAAACAGATAATTTTGATTACATGAAATTGAAAAGCTTCCATACAAACAAAATTAATATATATGAGGATAAGAAGGGAGGAATGGCTAAACAAATTGTGGTATGTGAATGTAATAGAAAATTACTGTGCTATAAGAAATGATGAATGTGATAAACACAGAAAAACATGAAAGGATTTACATGAACTGATACAAAGTGAAGTAAGCAGAGCCAAGAAAACAAAATAAATAACTACAACAATGCAAACTGAAAAACACACAAAACAATCAAAACCAAATGTTGGAAAACTACAAAGAAGAGATGAGTTGATCCCTCTCCCTACTCCTTTGAAGAGAGTAGGAGGCCCATGTGTATGGAAAACTGCATATATTTTCAAAGTTTTTTGGTATATTGATTGGTTTTGCTAAATGTTTTCCCTTCCTTTATAAAAAAAAAATTTTTTTATAAGGGATGGCTCTCTAGGAGTGGAAAAGGAAAGGGAACTAGGGAATAATTTAAACAATTTAAAACAAAATGTATTTTTTAAAAATTTTAAGAAAGTTAAAGCCTTTCACAATTAATTAAAAATGACTCTAGAACAGAATACTATCTCCTCAGCAATCTTTAAGGGACAACTGATTAGATCTTTCACTCAAGTAAAATCAAGGACTGTTCTAATATTATTTTGTAACTGTGTACCTTAAAGAGGGAAAAGTGATTAAAAGGGAATCTTAATCTGCTTCTACACTAATAAGCCTGGGATGGTAGGATGAAACCCAGTTCTAAATGGCTTTCAATGCCAAGCAAAGAAGTTTCTATTTGATTCTAGAGGTAACAGAAGCCACTGCAGATTTTTGAGCAGACTAGGGACATGGTCAGACCTGTGCTTTGGCAGCTGTGTCAAGTATGGATTCTAATGTAAAGAGACCAGAGGCAGCAGAATTTATTAACAGTCAATTGCAGTAGTACAGAGAAGAAGTGATCTGGGTCTAAATTAAGGAACTAGCCATGGGAATAGACAGAAGGGGATGGATGTGAGAGGCAGAGTTAGCAAGATGTGGAAACTGACTGAGTATGTGGGGTGAAGATAAGGCAAGAATTGAATATGATAAAAGGTTCTATTCCCAGGTAACTACTGTTGCCCTTCTCAAAAACAGAAAAATTCAGTATAAAAGTAGGTTTTAGTAGAAAATAATGAATTCTATTTTGAACACACTGAACAAAGAAAGATAAGATCTACTGGGGAAAATCTAAAATCCAGGACTATCGGACAGTAAATAAAATTTCACAAAGGAAGGTCTGAGGTACAGTGACAAGTGAAGAAAATATCAGGTTAGTTGGGGCAGCTAGGTGGCACAGTGGATAGAGCCTAGGCCCTGAAGTCAGAAGGACCTGAGGTTCAAATTCGACCTCAGACCAAACACTTGACACTTCCTAGCTATGTGACCTGGGCAAGTCACTTAACCCCATTGCCAAAAAAAAAAAAAAAATCCGGTTAGTTCTCACTTTGCTTTTGAGGCCTGGCTCCCTTCCTGAGATCATTTCTTACATGGCTCTAGTCATCCACATTTTATTTTCCCCACCTGGCTTATTTATTGTCATTGTAATCAAGACTCTCATGCTGGTCCAGATATGATAAATCACTTATTTTTAAATCAATCAATATTTATAGCACACCTAAGTACAAAAGCACAACATTTTATTCACCACCTAATAACGTTTGGCTTTGGTCCAAAAATTAACTATCTGGGGCAGCTAGGTGGCACAGTGGATAGAGCACCGGCCCTGAAGTCAGGAGGACCTGAGTTCAAACCGGCCTCAGACCAAACACTTGACACGTACTAGCTGTGTGACCTTCGGCAAGTCACTTAACCCCGATTGCCTCACTAAAAAAATAAATAAATAAATAAATAAATGAACAAAAATTAACTATCTACCATTGTAAGGAAAACAAAAACAGCTTCCTTTTTGTGTTTCTGACTCATCCTTCTCTCTTCTCCTTTTTCAATTTCCCTCTCCACTGTGCTCTCACATCCTCTGTTTCCCTAATTCTAGCTACCTTTTTGCAAGCCCAGCTTAGTGCTCAGCAGACAAAGAGCAAATAGGGAGGTAGTTGAGCCCATATGAAAGTCTCACTCATGCCAAAAATAAGAGAGAAAATTTGGTTTTGCTATTTTAAGAATGAAAGTTACTGGAATCACTATCTACCTGTATGTTCAGCTTTCTATGTTATTGGTAAATACGAGCTGTTTCATAAGTCTCATATAAAAAAAATAACAAAAAGAGTAAAAATATATTGGATTAAGATGAATAAAAAGATTTCTTACCTTTCCGCACTAAATGCTGATTCTGTGTCGATATATAAAACATCCCCTTCTAATCCTCCCATGCCAGTGGGCAATGTGGCTAAAACACTCATCATCATACAAAACTGGGTTTTGCCACAACCTGGTGGACCTGTGACCTAAAGGAAATGTAATTTGTATAAATAAGAAAGAAAAAATATGAAAAAACCAATTTTAAAATGCTCTACCAATTAAATTATCCTATAGGATATAAAGTTTGAGGTTTCAAAGATAGCTCTATAATATTCCTCATTCAAAGATTTTTAATAAATATTCTGATAAAAATTCCTGAAGAGTTTAAATATATGTAACAAGAGAATCTTAAATTTATTATAAAATAGTAGAGATATCTACTTCACTAAAAATTCAGTATAAATGTTAAACGTTTGGTATCCAGAGGGCATACTGTTATAATGTAAAGGAACTATGGGGACAAAAAAAATCATAGGAAATTTATTCAATACATTTTAGAGTTTTGAAGGGATCCTTGTTTCTTCTCCCCCTTTTAGAATGTAAGCACTTTATCATCATATAGCCCCTTCAAAATCCCAAATGTATTTACCGTTCTAGTTTCTTCTTGACTCCCAGGTTTGCATTTCAAAGGTTCTACTCAACTTTAGTTCTGTGAATAAGAATACTTGAAAGTCCTCTATTCCATTAAGGCTCCATTTTTTACCCTGTCAATTATATTCTGTTTGACAGGATAAGTTATCCTTGTTTGTAAGTCTTTGTCTTTTACCTTCGGGAGAAACATATTCTAAGATTTTCTCTTCTTTGTAGTATTAGCTACCAGTCTTATGTAATTCTAGCTGTGATTCCTTGGTACTTTTTCTTTATGGATACTTGTATTATTTTTTTTTCCCTTTGGCCTAGAAACACTGGATTTGGGCTACAACATTGCTGATGATTTTCATTTTTGAGTATCTTTCAGAAGGTAATCACTGGATTACTTCTATTTTCACTTTGCCCTCAGGTACTAACAAATGTGTGTGTGTGTGTATGTGTGTGCGTGTGTGTGTGTGTTTTCTGAAATATGGCATTCTACACTTTCTGATCACGATTTTCAGGGAGCCCAACGATTCTTAAGATTATCTCTCCTTGATCTGTATTCCAGGTCAACTGTCTTTAATAATTTACTTCTGTTTTTTCAATCCTTTGAATTTGTACTAATATTTCCTATTATCTTATGAAGTCTCGGAGTTTTGTTCGATCTAATTTTCACTTCTTGCATCTTGCATGATCGGTAGAATGTGTTCTAAAGTATTCATTTTCCTTCCCATTCTTTCTTCCCTAGTTCTCATTGTATTTAGAAATACATTTTGTCAGGGGCAGCTAGGTGGCACAGTGGATAAGAGCACCAGCCCTGGAGCCAGAAGGACCCGAGTTCAAATGTGGCCTCAGACACATAACATTAACTGTGTGACTCTGGGCAAGTCACTTAACCCCAATTGCCTCATCAAAAAAAAAAAAGAGCCACTGTAAATATTGAGGCAGTTGGGTGGCATAGTGGACAGAGCACCAGCCCTGGAGTCAGGAGGACCTGAGTTCAAATCCGGCCTCAGACACGTAATACTTCCTAGCTGTGTGACTCTAGACAAGTCACTTAACCCCAACTGCCTTACTTTAAAAAAAAAAAAGAATTACATTTTGTCCTCTTGCTTCATTTCTTCCAGGTATTCCTGGGGCCAAGTCATTGTTTTCTCAGGTTTCAATTGGATTTGTTGTAGAATGACTTTATTTTTCTGTTTTAACCTTTTGGGCTTCTCTCAATCCATAATACTTCTTCATAGTCAGTGTTTTCTTATGCTCATTCATATCTCAGTTTTTAGACTGGAATGTGTACATGGGTCAAACTACAATCTCTCCCAAAATCTTGGATGGGGTACGCAGGCTCTGCCTGATCCTCATCGTGGTGACTAAAATTAGGTCCTGTCTTCTTCAGGAATCTACGTTTTGGCTCAGTTTCCAGGTAACTTTATTTAGGTTGTAGACTCAGTCCCTTCCTCTACCTCCTTTTCTTTATAGAGTCCAAAACATGGAATTGGCTCCCCATTCCGGGCTGTGATCCTAAGTGAACTCAGTCAGATGTTATCCACAACACTGGTAGCAGGCTTCCTACAAAATCACAAGGACTCTGCTTTCCAAGGGCACGCACCTTCAGTTATTTGAACACTGGCCTGGCCTTGGCCTCTTCTCTGCTCAGAATCACAGGTCTTTGTCATTCTTCTTACAAAGTTCTGGACTCAAGGGTATTCAGAGTCATTTCTCATTGGTTTTCTTTATCACTGTTCCTTCTAGTGCACCAAGAACCTTATGAGAGTGTTTTTAGGGAAATCTGGACTCCTCTATGTCTTTTCATGCCAAAAATCATTATTAAATATATCTGAACAAACATTTACTTAGCTTTCCCCTAATTAATCAATCAACAAGCATTAAGGTCCTACTATGTGCCAGACAAGGAAGATAGAAAAGACAAAATGAAACAGAGTCTACCCTTAAGGAGCTTATAATCTATCAACAGAAGCAATATGTGTATGTACACATATACATATATAATGAGTAGAGAATAAATACAAGGTAATTTCAGAGGGTAAGGATTAGGAGTTAGAGGGATGAAGAAAGGCCTCATGTAGAAGTAGAAGCCCACCTATACTTTGAAGGAAACTAAGAATTCCAAGAATTAGATTCTAAGAAATGCGGGTTGAGGTGGGAGTGCATTCCACAGGCAGGGCAACTATCCATGCAAAGGCAAAGAGGCAGGAGAAAGAGAAGCAAATAGACCACTATGATCTAAATAGAAAGTGGAGCTGGCATGAAGAATGGTCCACGGAGAAACAAGATGATGGGAGATGGAGTGTTGCATGTGAAGGACACCATGAAAGTCAGTTTGTCTGAACTAGTACATAAAGGGAAGTAATAATAAGCCTGGAAAGGTAGGTGGTAAAGGCTTTAAATGCCAAACAGAGGAGACATTTCGCCCTAGTTGCAATAATGAGTCACTAGAATTTATCCACAGGGGAGAGATATGGTTATATCTGTACTTTAGGAATATCACATTGGCAGTTTTGTGGAGGATGTATTAGAGAAGGAAGATTTGCTGTAAGGGGACCAAAAGTCTAACATTCCAAATGAAAGGTGATGAGGGCCTGAACTAACATGATATGTAAAAGATAATGGAGATGACCTAGTTGAAGTAAAAGAATATCGCTATCCTCAACAAAAATTTAAAGAGTCATTCATAGGGGTGGGAGGAGTGGGGAGGAGAGGAAACAATGAGTTCTGTTTCAAGCAAGTAGAGTTGAAGATGCCTACACTATATACCAGTTTGAAACTTCTAATAGGCAATTGGTGCTGTGGGACTAGAGTTCAGCTGAGAGATCGGAGCTAGAATTATAGGTCGTAGATGATCTGCATAGATATGATCAATGAACCCATGAGATCTGATTAAGTCACCAAGAGGAAGCATGAAGGAGCCCTGGAGCGCTAGGGTATATCCATAATTAGGGAATAGAATGCAGAAGATGATCCAGTAAAGAAGACTAGGGAGGAACAGTTAGGCAGGAGAAAAACTAAGAGAGCAGTGACATAAAAACAGAGACAAGGAAGTATTCAGGAGAAGGTAGCCATGTTAAGTGCTACAGAGGTCAAGAACCATAAGAATTAAGAAAAGGCTATAAAACTGAACAATTAAGAGATCATTAATATCTTTGGAAAGAGGAATATGTACAAACCTCTATGCTAGGAGATGAGGCACAAGATGAATAAGATAGTCACTGACTTTAAGGAGTTTATAGTGAAGGGGAAAGAGAGGTGCACAGATGAATCTCATAGATATAGGCAACCTATTAATTTAAGCATGCAATCAAAGCTTAAAGGTTACCAAAATCATTACAAAGCCCTTTTAACTGCATGTTCAACTAGGTTTTTAAATAGAGAAAGAGACAAAGATGAAACATAATCCCCTTTGTAAAAATGACACAGAGGGAAGGGCCAAAGGGAGGGGACAGTATATCAGACCACCCCTGATCAAGTGATTCTTCCCAAGTCAAGTGATAAAACCACAGAAGATAAGAGGCAAGTAACAGAGACAACAAGGTGTTAAAGCCTTCAAAATACAAAGATGTTCCCATGCTGTTTACTTCTTTACAAGATGTTTAGAAGTCTGGATCAAAAGTGTTACAATTAGAAGGCAGTTAGCCAATGGCTAGCCAAGGTTCTACATTCAGCATTGAGGAATATGACCTCTGTAAACAAGGAAGAAAGCCAGCCCTCGCCATTGGAGTCAAGCTGCAAAAAGAAACCACTGAAAACTGACTGGTCAGTCAATCCTGAGGAAAATGCAGGTGCCATCTGGAAAGGTCCAAATGATGTCTGCCTTTACCTTCAACAGATCAAAATGGAGTTGAGTTCTGATCTCCAAATCGAGAGTAGCAGAGTGAGGTCATACTAAGGTCCAGGTTGGAAATACAACCAATACTGGACAAGATAACAGGAGTCCAAATAAAAGTGTTTTTCTTTATTAAAGGCAGGGCAGCACTGGTATAGGTTGAATCTGAGACAAGGGCTATGTTTTGTGTTGTTCTGGCAAAGTCCTGAATTTCTTCTAATGAATAAAAATCTGGGGAAGAAGGTTTAAATCTCATTCTGAGTCAAACACACCAATCTGAAACAGGTGTCCAATGTAAAGATTTTCTGCATGTTAGATCAATTTAAGTAAGTAAACTTGGCAAGATTTTAATCATTAGTTATGAAACCAGCATCTTTTAATTATAAGAAATTCACTCCCTGTGTCCCATGGACCTTCTGAGAATTGATGAGTTAACATCTGTAAAAAATGATTTGAAATTCTTAGTGGAAAAGAACACTATACCCCCATTTCACTTAAAAAAAAAACTTTAACAAACTATAGTCAAGGGCTCAAACAACTATACTTTGCATTTTCCAATTTTATTTTAAATATATTGATTTAATATATTCTTAGGGAAGAAGGAAGTGATATTATTATCTACTTTTAAAATGAAATAACTGGGCTTCCCCAAGAACATATGAACACTAAATCCTGGTCAAGGTACCCTGAGTTTTTTTATATTAGAAATCAAGTATTTGATGTGATAATTTT